AACAGTACAGAGGTGCCACCCACGTTCTTGTGGGTCTGGGGTCAATTCCCAGGTGTCCCGTACTGACCCATGATACATACACACATTTGTATGTGAGCACATGAGCACACGGATGGTGGGGCACACACATTCACTCGCAAAAGAACGGAGGGAGGGAAGGCAAGGGAGCGCAGGGGACAGCAGAGGGGAAGGCACAGGATGGCAGAAGGGAGGGCAGATGGTAGGGGAAGGGAGGATGTTGGGAGGGAGCGTTGAGGGAAGTGGGGGGGTGATGGAGGAAGGGTGGAGGAAGAGTGGGAAATGGTATTGTGGAGGGATTATTGAGGGAGGGTGGAGTGAGGGTTGGAGGGAGGGAGAGTGAAATGATGGAAGGATGGAGATGGAGCGCCATGTCTCCCTTACTTCACCCCCCGAAGGAAAAAACAGCCACACGGATCTATGGGGCCGGAGGCCTCAGTGATATTAGCATATGCATCATTCACACCCACACGAATCCCCCAGGGTCCCTGTCGTATTGAAGTCGTTTAGCCGGTGGCTCCCCCGTTCGTTTGACTGGACATTCATAGGAGAGTCATCACACACACAACCAGAAGAGGCGCACAAACACGCGGCATGCCAAAACAGCCATCAAACCCTAAGTTATGTAACTTCTGGAGAGGCGCCCCCAGACTCCCGGATGGGCAGTGGCAGGTGTTGTGTCGTATGCGGTTTTTTTAATTGTTTGGATGTTGTGCACAACACATGGGTGAGGTGGGGTGGCCCATCCATCTCCACCAGTCACCCGACAGCCCCTGGTTTGCCCTGCACCAACAGCACGCCTCCCGGGTTCCCATGACCGGCAGTCTGAAAGCCATCCAGCTGCTGTGCACCTATGACCGACAGCCCAGCACCTATGATCTATCTGCAATGTATCGACCCTAGGCAAACCGTTTTGGGGCTCCTGGAGGCCCATAAAGCGCAGCCGGGGCAACATGCGCTCCCTTTAAGTCGACCACGCAATGCCTTGCCTACCCTATATTACAAAACAATCCTATGCTTTTCGGTGCTTTTGGATGGGTACAAAGCGAGAAGTCCTGTCTTCATCATCGGCCATGTCCAAGTCGGAGGTGCCCGCGCGTTAAGCTGTTTGCTATACTAGTTAAAGCAATAACTTTGATTTAGGTATGAAGTCTCTGTAGCCCGTTCGTTTGGCTTTATGAAAATGTGTGACCTCTGTCCGGCAGTCGCAGTTACCATCTACCAAAGTATGTGCTCTTTGCGAAGAATTTAAGCTACCAAGACAAGCAATAATTAACTCAATTGGTGTTCCTGGCCTCGCCGTAATTCGTTAGCCAACTTCCACTCCGGGGCATAGGCACTCCAGGTGGGCTTAGGTCTTGGCCTGCAGAACCCATCCACATTCACAAAATGCCTAAGTCGTGCAAATGCGGCAACCTTTTCTGTAATAAATTACACCTTCGAAATCCATGAACGGTTTGCCTCATTGGTACATGTCGCTTGCAATCACGCCGTACTCATCTTCATACATCGGTCCAGAATGAGTACATCCTGCTTACATTCGTCATTCATATAGGCAATATTGCGATATCATTACGATCATCGATGGACCTTGAGGAAGAGCGTGCTACATGCATAGCCAGAAACGAAGCTAAGTTAGCAGAGCTTGGTCTTTTGCATTCACCTCCCCAGCCCAACAAAATAACAAGCACTGGTGATTGAAATCCCGCCGACTTCGTAGAAGGATCGACCAAGCAGTGCAGCCGGCGGTCGATCTTGTCCGCCCTACATTACAGCAAAGTAGGAGAGAGGTCACAGCCATTACAGGATCTGATACCACTGAAGAGTCCGAGGAATACTGTGAATTGGAAACAGCACATGAGCGCATGGTAAAGCTGTGACCTTTTGCGCCGCCTATTATCCTGATGAACTTGCTTGCTTTACTTGTCAAGCACGAATCCCTCATTCTTTGCTACCCATTCCTTTCGCATTATCGAAGGAGGCTATTCAGAACGTTCCTGAACCTAGTCCAGGTGACCTTCCTGGCCTTCAAGGCATTCCAGTGGAAGTTCGGGATATGGCTGCAAAAATAGGCTTTGAAATCGGCTGTAGGCCGTTCCAGCTGTTCTACACAGCATATGACAAATGGAAGTCGGATTTCAAGCCGGCTTTTAACAGTCCAGGATCAGCCAAGGCTACCATGGACATTCAGCACCCTCTACGATATGGGCTTCAGGGAGAGAGACCTTCTTGACCAGCAGCAGGTCAACAGGGTGAGCCTCAAAACGGAA